AGCATTGCAACTAATGAGTTAGTTGCGAGATGATGTATTATGAAACGAGTAAAGAGACTTGCCGGTAACGAGATTGAACTAGGTATTGAGATACCGATGATCGAATCTCGGGCAAGTAACATACCGATGACAAAGGGAACAACGTATGTTGTTATGCGGTCTGACCGATAAAGATCTTCGTAGAATATGTAGGAGCCAATATGAGCATCCAGGTTCCGCTATTGGTTATTGGCCGGAGACGTGTCTCGGTCATGTCTACATTGTTCTCGAACCCGTAGGGTCCGCACGCTTAAGGTTTCGATGACAGTTATATTATGAGTTTATGAGTTTTGATGTACTGAAGTTAGTTCGGAGTCCGGGATGTGATCACGGACATGACGAGGAGTCTCGAAATGGTCGAGACATAAAGATTGATATATTGGATGGCTATATTCGGACACCGGAAGTGTTCCGGGTGATTTCAGAGAAAACCGGAGAGCCGGAGGGTTACCGGAACCCCCCCGGGAGAGGTAATGGGCCATATGGGCCTTAGTGGAGAGAGAGGGGGGCTGCCAGAGGTGGGCCGCGCGCCTCCTCCCCCTGGTCCGAATTGGACTAGGAGAGGGGGGGGCCCTTTCCCTCTCCCTCCCCACTTCTTTCCCCCTCCTAGTAGGAGTCCTACTCCTACTAGGAGGAGGACTCCTCCTGGCGCGCCTATAGGGGCCGGCCGGCCTCCTCCCCTTGCTCCTTTATATACGGGGGCAGGGGGCACCCCTAGACACACAAGTTGATCTTCGTGATCGTTCCTTAGCCGTGTGCGGTGCCCCCCTCCACCATATTCCACCCCGGTCATATTGTACCGGTGCTTAGGCAAAGCCCTGCGACGGTAGAACATCAAGATTGTCACCACGCCGTCGTGCTGACGAAACTCCTCCCCGATGCTTTGCTGGATCGGAGCCCGGGGATCGTCATCGAGCTGAACGTGTGCTAGAACTCGGAGGTGCCGTAGTTTCGGTGCTTGATCGGTCGGGCCGTGGAGACGTACGACTACATCAACCAAACGCTTTCGTTGTTGATCTACAAGGGTACGTAGATCACACTCTCCCCTCTCGTTGATATGCATCACCATGATCTTGCGTGTGCGTAGGAATTTTTTTGAAATTACTATGTTCCCCAACAGATAGAGAGTCTCCTATTTTGTCACTTTCATATACTAGTGTGAATTTTTCATTATAGAACTTGGCTTGTATATTCCAATGATAGGCTTCCCCAAATTGACCTAGGTCTTTGTGACCAAGCAAGTTGGATGCACACTCACTTAGTTTCTTTTTGAGCTTTCATACACTTATAGCTCTAGTGTATATGTTGCATGGCAATCCCTACTCACTTGCATTGATATCTATTGATGGGCACCTCCATAGCCCGTTAATATGCCTAGTTGATGTGAGACTATCTCCATCCTTTTGTCTTCTCCACAACCACCATATTATATTCCACCTATAGCGTTATATCCATGGCTCACGCTCATGTATTGCGTGAAAGTTGAAAAAGTTTGAGAACACCAAAAGTATGAAACAATTGCTTGGCTTGTCATCGGGATTGTACATGGTGAAATATTTTGTGTGATGAAGATGGAGCATAGCCACACTACATGATTTTGTAGGGATAACTTTCTTTGGCCATGTTATTTTGAGAAGACATGGTTGCCTTATTAGTATGCTTGAAGTATTATTGTTTTTATGTCAATATTAAACTTTTGTTTTGAATCTTATGAATCTGAAAATTCATGCCATAATAAAGAAGATTACATTGAAAATATGTTAGGTAGCATTTCACATCAAAAATTCTGTTTTTATCATTTACCTACTCAAGGACGAGCAGGAATTAAGTTTGGAGATGCTTGATACGTCTCCAATGTATCTATATTTTTTATTGTTCCATGCTATTATATTATCTGTTTTGGGTGTTTTATATGCTTTAATATGCTATTTTATATTATTTTTGGGACTAACCTATTAACCTAGAGCCCAGTGCCAGTTTCTATTTTTTCCTTGTTTTTGAGTTTTACAGAAAAGGAATATCAAACGAAGTCCAAATGAGCTAAAAAACTACGGTCATTTTTTATGGACCAGAAGAGACCCATGGGCCATCGGAGATGGACCAGAGGAGTCCCGAGGCAGCCACAAAGGGTGGAGGGCGTGCCCCTGCCTTGTCACTTCCTCGTGGACACCACTGACGTGAAACCAACGCCAAAAATTCCTATAAATATAGAAACCCCCAGAAAGAAACCTAGATCGGGAGTTCCGCCGCCGCAAGCCTCTGTAGCCACAAAAACCAATCGGGAGCCCGTTCTGGCACCTTGCCGGAGGAGGAAACCATCACCGATGGCCATCTTCATCATCCCGGCGGTCTCCATGACGAGGAGGGAGTAGTTCACACTCGGGGCTGAGGGTATGTACCAGTAGCTATGTGTTTGATCTCTCTCTCTCTCTCTCTCTCTCTCTCGTTCTTGATTTGGCACGATCTTGATGTACCGCGAGCTTTGTTATTATAGTTGGATCATATGGTGTTTCTCCCCACTACCTTCTTGTGATGAATCAAGTTTTATCTTTGAGGTTTCATTATTATCGGATTGAATACTATTATGAATTTGAGAACACTTGATGTATGTCTTGCGTGGGATACCCGTGGTGACAATGGGGTGTTCTATTGATTCACTTGATGTATGTTTTGGCACTCAACTCGCGGATTCTCGAGGTGACATTGGGGTAATCTATGCATAGGGGTTGATGCACGTTTTCGTCCTTGTTTCTCCGGTAGGAATCTTGGGGCACTCTTTGAGGTTCTTTATGTTGGATTGAATATTATGAATCTGAAGTTATTTGATGCATATCGTATAATTGACCCACGGATACTTATGGTGACATTGGAGTATCTAGGTGACATTAGGGTTGATTGATGTGTGTCATATGGTGTTATTTTACTACAAACTCTAGGGTTGTTTGTGACACTTATAGGAATAGCTCAATGGATTGATTGGAAAGAATAACTTTCAGGTGCTTTTGTAGCCTACATGCAATTTCATCTTATGTTCTCTGCGATAGAAACTTTTGAGTGACTCTTTGTTGCACGTTGAGGGATTGCCATATGATTTAATTATGTTATCATTGTTGAGAGAACTTGCACTAGTGAAAGTATGAACCTAGGCCTTGTTTCCAAGCATTGTAATACCGTTTTCGCTAACTTTTGTTACTAGTTACCTTGCTGTTTTTATATTTTAAGATTACCACAACCTATATCTACTGTCCATATTACACTTGTATCATCATCTCTTCGCCGAACTAGTGCATTGGGTGTGTTGGGAACACAAGAGACTCTTTGTTATTTGGTTGCGGGGTTGTATGAGAGAGACCATCTTCATCCTACGCCTCCCACGGATTGATAAACCTTAGGTCGTCCACTTGAGAGAAATTTGCTACTGTCCTACAAAACTCTGCACTTCGAGGCCCAACACGAGTCTACAAGAAGAAGGTTGTGTAGTAGACATTAACACGCTACAACAACAATGCCTACAAGATCAACTTCCCACGCGACAAGTACAACGTGAGCGATATCTTCAGCGCCAAATACCTATCTCCCTTCCATGGTGATGAGGATTTCGATCCAAGGACGGATCTTTCCCAAGGGGGGAGATTATGCGGAGCATCCTACGGTCATCCATGGACCTACCTTCGTCTCCTCAAGTGCCAAGTGGACCGATGATACAAACACGTGCAAAAGTTATCGAGACCGAGGTGACATCTCTTCTTAACAAGCTTCCGTATGAACCATGTGAGACATGGTACTACCTCAATCGAAAATGCTATGTGTGCTTAGGTATGAAGAAGACCATCTGGGAGACGCTCTGAATGAAGAGCAAATCCCCAAGTACACAGACGAAGAAGACCGTTGAAATGCTACAGCGGTCGGACATTCGGCCCTTGGCCCGGATATCCGGCGCCCCAGTCCAGCTCGGACATCCGGCCCCGGCCCAACGTGAAGCCCCAGACGTCCGGCCTTCAACCCAGACGTCCAGCATCTGTGAGTGCCTAACCGGGCCAGAGGCCCATGTATCCCCTCTTCCCCTCTCTTATCTCGTGAAACACTATATATAGACCCACTCCTCCTCCTAGCTAGGGTTAGCAAAGGTTATAACTCATTTGAGATTGAGTTTTTCTCGTCCACCTACCTCTCCCATGGAGATCAAGGCCTCTATGTGAGAGAAGATCCCCAAGTGGATTCGAGACCCCTTCCAGGGAAGATCCTCTTGGATACCAAGACCTCAACTCCTTCAAGGATTGGGATGAATTAGTTCCTTTTTTGCCCTCTTGTGTTGGACTTGGACCCTTATATCCCTCTAAAGCAGTGCTACACACATTACGCTTGCTAGCCGAAATGTGCATGACACTACATCACGCTACACACATTACGCTTGCTAGCCGAAATGTGCATGACACTACATCACATACCATCCACTGGCAAGTTAGGCGCTTGGATCAGAGCGAGTGGCTACACTGCCTACGGACTGACAAGCAAGCGAATGAACAAGATGGCCAATATGATTTTTGATATAATTCTAGTTTTTACATGTCGGTTTGTAACTTTGTTGTTCTTTGATTATACTGTTTTCCTTGATAGCAGTTATGAGATGCCCTTTGGGTGTCTTTTATAAGTATTGATTTGTTGAATGACTACTAAGTGAGGACCATCTCACTAGGGTTTCTACCAAGAAACTGCATATGGGATTACTCTGGGTTGCATAAACAAATTGCATATGGGTGGAGGCGGGATTGCATAGATAAATTACTCTGGATTATACATTTGGCATCTCCGAACTGAATCTTAGAACAGACATCCTTTTTTGTGCTATGAGAAATTATTACAGACAGACACAGACCAAGCAAGATAAGTAGAAGAGAGGAGAAAAGGAGGCAAAGAGTTATATATAACAGCGGCGGCTCAGCTCAAGTGGGGAGGAGGAATCAGCCGGACAGGGCGTCGGCGCCAGCGACGATCTCAAGGATCTCTCCGGTGATCTTGGCCTGGCGTCGGCGGTTGTAGACCATGGAGAGATTTTTCCGGAGGTCGATGGCATTGTCTGTGGCGCTGCTCATGGCGCTCATCCTGGCGGCGAGCTCGCTAGCGAGCGACTCCTGGAGGGCACGCAGGATCTGGCTGTTGAGGTAGAGCGGGAGGAGAGCGTCGAGGATCTGGACGGGGTCCTGCTCGAACTGGACGACGGGGGAGAAGGGCTGCATCTCGATCTTGATCTTCTCGCGCTCCACGGTGAGCTTGCCTTCCTTGGTGGTGAGCTTGAAGAGCTCGTCCTCGGTGGCGTCGACACAGATGCCGTTGACATCGCAGATCTCGCCCTTAGGGGACATGGGCAGCAGCGTCTGGATGATGGGGTCGGAGCGGACGAGGTTGACGAACTTGGAGTAGACGAGCTCCACCTTGTCGACCTCCTCGGCGACAAAGAGGGAATAGATGAGGTCGCAAATGGCCTGCGAGTCCTTGACGGTGGGGATCCCGGCGAGCTCGAGGAAGCGCTCGGTGGGGATGTAGTCGCGGCGCTGGAAGTAGGCGTTGCCCTTCTTGCCGACGCTGATGACGGTGTAGTCGACGCCCAGCTGCCTGAGGTCCTCCATGCGGGCCTCGGCCTTCTTGAGCACGTTGTTGTTGAAGGCGCCGCAGAGACCACGCTCGCCGGTGAGGACGACGATCGCGACGCGCTTGACGGCGCGCTGGCGGGTGAGGGGCAGGTCGATGTCCTCCGACTGGATCTCCTGGTTCATGTTGTAGAGCACCTCCACCAGAGCCTCCGAGAAGGGGCGAGAGGAGACCACGGCCTCCTGCGCGCGACGGACCTTGGCGGCGGCCACCAGCTTCATCGCCTCCGTGATCTTCTGCGTGTTGCGGACAGAGTCGATGCGGTTACGGAGGTCCCGGAGGGAGCACCGCACCACCAGGCTGCTGCTGCCGGTGGAGGCGCGGCGGCGGGTGGAGGTGCTGGCAAGCGCGGAGGAGGACCACGCGGTGGAGAGGTGGGAGCACGACATGGCTAGCTAGCGCCTGGCGCGTCACTGGCGGCCGCAGAGGCGGAGGCGGAGGGGAAGAAAGGATGGGAGGGAGGGAAAGATTTTGGATTGGGTTTGGGTGGAGAAGTGAGCAGGTGGGGTTTTCAAGCCGGGCTGAGTGGTGGAGGGCTAGTCACTGCGAGATTGCCGCGGATCATGTGGCGCGCCCTGGCCGCCTACCCTCTGCCCCTTGCCTGCTTCCATTTCTCAATCCATATTTTTTTGCCTTGCCAAATAAATATAACTCTTAAAACTACAGCAACAAAAAAGGGAACTGCTCTTTGGGAGAGGGCAGGAATGGATACACTGCGGATATACTACAGTACATATTAGATATTTAGTCCAAGTGAATCAAAATTCGATATTCATTTTCATACAAAAATCTTGTAAAATTCCAGAGTTGGAAAAAGGCCAGATGCCACATACCAAAAGAATCTGGTGATACAAGCATATATAAGCTTGATAAAATGCAAACAACTTTATATAAAAAGGAAGTACTGATCCTCCTAATCAGTCAGCAGGCTGAGGCTCTTGGTTGGATGGTTTGTACACACTGAAGTCGCCGAAATCCCTTCTTCCACTGCACAGAAGATGCTCTGTAAATAAATATCTTGATTTCAAATGATAAATAGATTCAAAGTAAAGAGCATCACGATTCGCAAGCACAAGAAATTTTATGTGTTAAGCAATTAACCAATCAAGCAGCAAAAGGTGATCTTTTTTACCTGTGCTTTATATTCCAACCAGAAGGTAGATAACGAGGGTGGACAGCTTCGACGAAAACATGCCTCCATCTTTGGCAAAACTGGTGAACGGCCTCCTCCCCACCATTGGCCAGCAAAAGCTCGACCACTTGTTTACCGTGGTGCCCGTGTCCTAGCAGTGATATCTTCTTGTCAGCATTTTTGGAAATAGCTTGGCTGGAATTATCACTGCTGACTGGATCCTCGTCGAGATGGCCATTTGCCTGAGTTCCGCTGCTTGATCGCTGCATTCCATCTGACCCAAGCTTCTCCGTGTTAGGGTCACAAGTAGAATCATCCATACTGACTGACAAACTTGCGCTTCTTTGGCTCACAGTTAAATCTTCTGCCTGGCTATTACACCCAGTCCCGTCAGCATCTTGTTGACCGCTACTCCCGTTCCCATCTTCTGAAACTTGCTCTGATAAAGTATGCCTATTTTTTGAATCATCTCCCATGTCTTCTAAGATGGCCTTGTTGCTGCTCTTTCTTATAATGTTTTCAGTCTGAGCTCTAAAAGAATGAGGATACCCTTTTTTCTTTTCAAGTCTCCTTCGCTCATTGGGGCTCATACCTACAAGTAATGCCATCTCCAGGTCTTCGGAAGTCACGTCCCTACCACCGTAGTATGACTTCACAATCTGTAACGAAATGAATGTATCGGTAACACAGATCTACCGCTAAGAACAAATACATGTCTAATCACGAAAAAAATACTGGCAACTAGCTTAAAAAGTTATGTTTCATAATCCAATGTCAGGAAACTGTAAGTGATGCATATAGACGAAGCCAGAAATACTAGAAGGATGTTGGGACCTGCATTAGCTCTTCACATCTTTTCGAAGGCATAGTGGATCCATGCCGCAGAAGGGCCATTGCAGCAGTCCTCAGCAGCAAAGGGGACACACCCTTTTCATTCAATTTATCTTCAGATACTGATGCATCGGTTATTAAACTTCTATCACCCGAGTTCACTATTTTTTGTACAAAAAGGGGTATTCCCAATTCTTCTGCTAGTCGCCTCTTGTATTTCTCAGCAGCTGAATGAGCAATTTCATGGCAATCCACACAAAGAAGTACAATATCATGTGAACGATGGCTCTTCAGATGCTCCGGAAAGTGCATCCTGTAGCAAGATGGTATTATTCTATATCTGATATAGTGGCTCTTTTCTCCACATCCAACGCAGATATTTTTCTTGCTCTGAATATAAAATTCATTATCTTCATCCTCGGGACGACCCTTAGGTTCAAACAGCAGCATGATTCCCGGAGGATTGTCTTCTACTAACTTTGCCAAATCCCGTTGAATATACCTGGGAAATAAAATCAATCAGTTTGACAAAATAACTATGATGTTAGTGTCACATACTTATAACAACTTATAGCATTTAAGAAACAAACCATTCCAACTTTTTGCGGTCACAGTAGCAAAGTAGTCTTTCATCACTAGCGTAGATCCTGCAATTGTGATAAACTGGGGACTTGCATGAAAACTTTTTAATGAATGATTCCCGGGAAGCCTTTTTGTTAGGTGATGTTGTCGACAACTTTTCTCCACTTGATGCAAAAGCAAATATATTTGTTTGCTTCAAACTTAGCTGCGATACAAGGTTATAATTATAAACTGATAGTCGACATAACCCACTTGGTTCTTTATACTTCCCAAGCAAAGTTGTAAATAAGTTATCCATGCTGACAGTGGTATCCTCAATTAGATAGCAGAGTTCTTCAATGTGAGCGACAACTACAGGGGATGGTGACGACAAGGAAGGATGCATAGTTGAAGCACTTGGCTCAGTTTCTGCTATGACAGCACACATCTCCGTTCGACCTTTTGGAACTCTTACAGCAAGGGCAGCAATAGCCTGGTCTGACAGGATATACCGCAAGCTTTCATCATGCATGCGAGCCTGAGATCCCAAGACATTTGAAGGAATTAGAAAGGAGAACAGACCAGAAGGCCCAGAACCACAATAATGCAGATGTGCAATTTTTTAACATAATATACCATGAATAGGAGATAAGGAACTCGAGAAAATACTTGAGAAAATACAAGCGGCTGTGTAGAAACCTGTTAATTATAATCTATGGATGAGTAAGCTGATCCAGCCAATGTCATGTGGACCACACCTATTCACGCCGCCACAAGGTCCCCTCAGGTTTGTCGGCTTAGTCTTCAATGCAGGTGTGGTTATCTTCTCTCAAAATTTATCAATTTGATTTGGTTTGTTCTAAGCTAGTCACTTTCCGTACCCCTAAAATGTTTTCAAATTTTTTATATATCTAATCACTCTGTGTGAAAAGATATAAGAATTGTTCAAGAGACCAATCTACACGAGAAGGGAGATCAGGCTCACTCCAAACACTGAGCTGCTTATGTTGCCAAGTATAGGTTGCTGCCAAGACAGCATTGAACCGAAGGCAGTGTTACTACCTCATCCCTTAACCTACCACAGCTACACTGCTACAACCTAGACTTGCAACTAACAAGGTTCACCAAATAAAAGAGCATAGTCCAACAGAAATGCAAAAAACAATCAAAAAGGGAAATAAAATTATGTTGGCTGACCATTAAATCCCTCCATGCGCAAATTTTCCGAACAAGATCCTACAAAAGATTAAATTGTTTAGAACTTAACAAAATCACTGGCGAGCTGGCTGACCAGATGCATAGAAAAAGGAAAACAAGCACCTTCACTTCACTAGATTTCTTGGAATCAAGTCCATGAGTTTGTACATTTCGTGAGAGAATAGATGCTGCAGAGGAAGCTCCTGGACGACATTCAATTTCCTTTGTATATAGTTGCATGCACACCATGTTTGACCGACGGCTAGCCTCCAAGAAAAAATTGATTTTACCATCGGGAGAATCTGAAGCATAATTGATATTACAACCAATCAAAAACTAAATGCGAAGCAGGGGGGTATTAATATACTATTCTCAGCAGTGGGCGGCTGGGCTGGTGCAGCGCGTCTCAGCTGCAGTCGGCGGCGGCCAGCTTGATGCGCGCATGGGGGGAAGGAAGCAGCGCTCGCATCTGTTGTCTAGAGGTTGGGGAAGAAGCCAAGAAGCTTCGGGACAGGAGGGATAAAGATAAGGAGAAAACGAAAAGAAAAGGAGTTGGAAGACGAAATGTGTGGGGACCACGTGCACATGGCAAGTGAACGACCCGGCTGATTTCTGCATGAAATCAGTCGGTCGTATTAGACTATTTCCCATTCTTAATATATTAATATACTTTTTGTTTGTAGATTAAGAGTATACTATTTCCGGAATCTTTTATATGTAGAAAGCACAAAAGATAGTTCTGCCACAGCTCAGGTGGTGGGAGACTTAGAGCACAAAATGAAAACTATACATGATTTCCGGTAATGAAGGATTCAAATTCCACAGCTACATCAAGTAAGCTCCATTTATTGACAATAAGAAAAGGCTGAAGGGTGAAGAACACAAAAACTACTGATGGAAATCAGCTCTAATTACTTCAATAGTTCAGGGATATCAAAATCAGCTGTATTCAGCATTCATTGTTGACTTTGAGTGTGCTAAACAGCAAAATAATACAATGTCTGTTAATGTACTAGATGGCAGTAAAGACTCTTGCAATGGAAATAAGGACATAGCACTTAGAAGTTAGAACACACCACAGGATTTTGCATGGAGCTCTGATGCCAAACAATTTGAAATGTTCAACAGATAGTGAGCATCACAACGGGCATACTCAATCATTTCCGCTGTCAGCGGGCGTAATCTCCAGTCTTCACGCTGAAATCTCAAAATAAGGTCAAATGAAAAGAAATAGCGACAATCACGGAAGCAATTTTGAAATTTGGAACTGATGTGTCGTGTGCCTAGCAAACTGAGATTTGCAAGCACAGGTAAAGAGTCGATGAGAACAAGTAGGCAGAAGGCACTTGTGTATCATTTTCTTTTGCATCTAAGGTATTCAACACCAAATTGAATGCATAAGCAAATAAATTACTAGACTTCGGAAAATATTAGCTGTAACGAAAAGACAGCTAAACTGAGCATAAATTCATCGATGCAAGTAAAGAATAAAAAGAACTAAGGATGTCACATCCATTTCAGGGCCAGGTTGTGAAGGGTGTCAAGGCCAGTGATCGGGAGATCATGTCAGAGCTGACTAGGTATCATGAATAATTATACACGTAGACAGTTGATAGAACATTATTGGGGGAAACCTACTGCTGTACTGGGTTCTAGCATCATGAATAATAACATATCAAGCAGGATTCAATACGCAATTAATATTTTCTAGGGCTTATGAAATTAAACTGAAGTGAAACATATACCTTCCGGTTGGGCACTTATAATAAACCAAAGTAATAAAAAGGGCAGCCTGGTGCACATAGCTCCCGCTTGTGCAGGGTCCGGGGAAGGGTATGACCGCTTTGGGTCTTTTGTGCGCAGCCTTTCCCTGCATTTCTGCAAGAGGCTGTTTCCAGGGTTCGAACCCAGCAACAGCTTTACCGCTGCGCCAAGGCTCCCCTTCCCCGGTAAATAAACCAAAGTAACAGTTTACAAGAATTGGTAAATATTTTTCTGAAAACCTTAGTTGCAACTTCTATAGACGTTGTCTTCTACATCATTTAGAAACCTTAGAAGGAAATACCAAGGTTTGTGGTTTGGTTCAATATGTATATAGCACCATCAATAGTTCATTTATTTTCTCAAATACCGAAAAGTATTCACAGCCTGTTTGGTAGTTTAAAGGAAAGGGAATGGGAGTTTTTAAGAGGGAGTTTGTTGGGTGATTAGGCTTGGGAAGTGGACTGTTAGTCCCAGTCCCACGTTTGGCTACTGTTGGGAATTGCTTGTGGGAATTTAATAGAAAAAAAAATTCTCTGTTTAGTTCGCGAGTCAAACTAATAGAAGATGCTGAGGACACGTTTGTTTACGTACAAAATTGAACCAGCCCTTGTTTTGCGCAACAAACAAACTGTTTTTTGTTTGCTAATTCCCATTCCCTGGCTGAATTACCAGCCCTCCCCTGGGAAGAGATTAGCGGGAGTTCACCCCCTCAACTCCCATCCCTTTTCTTTCTCAATTCCCATACCCTCCAACCATACAAGTGATTTTTAGTCTCCCACCCTCTCAATTCCCATTCCCTACTCCAACTTCCCCCGAACCAAACAGGCTGTCATGTACAAGTTGAGGAGGCACATGGGATCTAACCAGCTACTAAAGAATCAGTACATACACTAACTGTCACTGAACACTTGACAGGCTTTAGCAAGCTCGCTGTTTAAGCCAAACTTGGAAGATTACTTGCCTGCAATGTCTTGTCGGTGGTCACTCCACAATACAATTCTAGCAAATATGCTAAGGATTTCTGTGGCTTTGATAGGACCTCACATGCCTGAAAATGTTGATTTCAACAAGCAATTGAGCAAAGCTCAGACGCGTAGGATAATAACAAAAAAGTGAGAGCGCAAAGGCATATGAACAGCCTTATGAACAGCAGGGGCAAAGGTACCAAGCAACAAAGACGTTCAAGAACCAAAATATTTATGGGCACGGACTAATTCAAAGGAAATTGGTATTATAAACTACTCCTGGTTCTGAGCTGCAATGCACAAATATAAAGTTTTTGTATTCCAGTTGATCAGTTCATATGAATTTTGTGATTGAAACTGAAAACATAAACCAACACAATTGGAAGAGAAGCAACTGACTGTAGCAATACTCAGACAGCATATATCTGAAACTAAGACAGAAGTACCGAACACAATATAAGATGATGATGCTCAGTGGCCCATCTTTTTCCCCACAAAGAAATTGAAACCTTCTATTCAAAATTAAGAGAAAGGGCACAAGAGCAGGCGACAGGAAATGGGTACCCAAGAAGTTTGAAATGATCAAAATAATAAAGCATTTGTGTAAGAAATTTCAGTGTATAAAACTGCAGTCACTTAAATGAAAACTGTGTTTCATGCCACCTCTAAGTAGTGAATGACACACCACATAACTGGCTGCTTAAGAAAAAAAATGTGGGACAACTACCAGATATACTTGTTCACAGATTGCTTGCATAAGTCTCTGCAGAATTATAATGAATCTTCCCAGATATAGAGGAACTTACTTTGGCAGTATCAAACATATTCACAACATAAATATGGAAATCTCTCTGAAGCCAAAGAATGTCATTGTCAGCTCCGTGGAAGATCTAAAGCAAAAGAAAGCAGAACATAAATGATTGTGACCTTTTAGAAACAAAAGCATTGTGGATATTCTGTTGAGGCAAGCATACATCAATATTTCAAGGAAGTCCAAAATATATTGAAGAGGGGAAATACATAGAATCAAGGAAGCCATGGGAGAGTTATTATGAGAAGGTGGGCATGCAAGAATCAGGATCACATGTGTGCACATCCATGTTTTATTAGTGTTGACAGAAACTGGCAAGTCTCTGAAACAGTACAACTCATTGTCCTTCAGATATGTCATCTAATGGGCATCTTGTATTACATCGTTGTGTTCACACGAATAAGATGCTAGCATATCTAAGAAGCTATGATTCAGAGTTTCTGGGTGGTAGAGCCAAATAGAGCTTGGAATCATGTGCTCCCAGCTCAAAAACCAATTTTTCAAAAAGTCCTCACATGTGGTTGTGTGAGTATTGTTTGTTGCTTATCTCCCCACGTGTACCTCTATATATACTTGCCTGGGATGCAGGATGAAATAACCTGTTTTTGTTAGGATGTACAGGCTATCCCTGTAATACCTGTCCTAAATGCACTGTGCTAAAAGCACACGCCATAGGCACCGCGGTGCCTAATCACCGACGTGTACTATTCTAGACGTTCCAAGGCCCAGTTTATTACTGAAATGCATAAAATTTAAGTAGTGCTTTTAAGTAGCTAATCATAGTGCTGGAAACGAAAGAAATGGATGCCTGATGACATCAGATGTAAAAGATGGACTACCTTACAGATGAACGGACTGGCAAAAACTGGTTGTAGAATACCCATCACATCATGTAGCGCAATTGTGTCTATCAAATAGTCTTCCTTCTGGGTAGATATCTACCAAAAAAATACAACCTTAATGAACTTAATAAGCTGAAAAGCATCAATAATGCATCTGTTAGCAGTTACCTGCACAAGTGCAGTATATCCTAGGAATGACCGAAAGCTATGTTGCTCTGTATCAACACCGAAAGCTTTTTCCTCGCCCAACAATCCAGCCAGATGCTCCAATTGAGCTTTTGTATTGACCCAATTGTATGAGTTTCTCAGTTCTGGGCATTGGCTGCTTGGTGTGAAGTTACAAAAAGTTGAATATCTGGTTGGGTTGTCCAGTAAGGACGTAATTTCATCCTCAAATGGGTGCATCTTTTCTGATGATTCTGTAATGATGGCAAAAGGCACATTCCTTTCGGGTTATGATCAAAGGTACAATTTAATTTGCTTATGGTGAACATTTAAAGATAATTAAAAAGATTGTACAATCAGCTTGGCAGTTGCACTATCTCGATGTGACAGCTTAGGCTCCTGGGATACATAAGCACAAAAAGATTTAGTAAATTGCCTAGTGAGGATTTTTTTGAAAATGAGAGCAATCAGTTGTTTCAGATATTTATATGACTTGTAAGGATGTATAAGTGTACGATCTTAAATATACAGGGCAAGTACATGTGTACGATCTTATATATACAGGGCAAAATACAATTTCTAGTGCTGGTACAGCAGAAGGTCACTACCTTCATTAGCTAAGTATACTAGTGTCTAGTCATGGGTAAATAGAAGCATGCAGCGGACCAGCATTGTGCTGCATTTTACACATGGTGGCAACGCAGCAGCTGCACCTGGTTCCAATACGAAGCGTATTGACCACCTAACCCGACAACTGTACAGTAGTTTGCACTTGCGCAAGCCGTGACTAGCAGCGCGGTAATTCCCTAATGCAAGTGTGGCAGAAGAACAATGTCCAAATCCAGCAGCAATGGTCAAACTCGGTACGACCTTGGTACGAGGTGTTCGATGAAATGCCCCACGGAACATATACTACTACAGCCGAGTCTTAACCTTGTCAGTCAGCCATCGCAATGTAGTATGGTGGAGCTTCACAACCACGCAACCCTACACGCCAGCTCCTCAAATCAAAAATAAAAATCCCGTGCAAATGAGCGCAATGACGAGGCCAAAAGGAGCGGCGCACCTTGCGGTTGCGGCTTGGCCTCGTCGGGGTGGCCGTCAACAGCCTGGTCGGCACCCTGACGTCGGAGGTGCTTGAAGGGGGAGTAGGAGTTATCCGCGAGCACGCGCTTGAACCGGCCCTGCGGCTTCTCCTCCTCTTCGCAGGCACGGCGCGCGCGGCGGGAGCGCCGCTCCTCGACGCGGCGAGGCGAGGTGGGCGATATACCTCGGCGACGCCTGCGGTGGAGCAGCGCCGCCGCCGCGAGGAACGCGAAGCACGCGGCGGCCGCCGCCAAGGCGGCGCGCGACTTGAGGTTGACGGTGTGCATCTCGCTCGCGGTAGTGACGGACGGACCTTTGCTAAGTTTGGGATCTTGGACCGTTTGCGGTAGAGACACGCTACACACTAAAAAACCGCGGACCGGATACAAGAGCGGCCATCCAACACTATGGCCCCGTTCGGAAACGGGTCACTCCCTCCGCTCCGCTCGATGCTGGAAACGAGGAGCAACATAATAGCTGCTCCTCAAAAATGAACTATGCCCCGCTCCGCTCCATCATTTCAGCTTCACGGAGTTGGGAGCTGGAGTGTTGCCGAACCAGACCGTCTTAAATGTCTGTTTTTTATTAATAACTCACAAAAAAATTGTTCGCCTCTATTTGTTTACACCGCCATTGTGGTTTTTGCCATCCCAAGCGGCTCATGTGTGGCTTCCGCCATCCTTCAGCGGCTTTTCGCCGAACATTGACGGCAAGAGACAGTAGTAAGATGAGATACATGGTGATTTTCATTGACCAAGCGGATGCCCGGACTCCCGTAAAACTTCTCAAATTTACTTTAGGTTTGCGAGAATTCGAACACCGGACATGTCAACGGACATATACAACACCACATTAGATGGCAAAAAACATCTGGACACCTCATGTATATCGCACTGGATCTATAATATTTATTTTGTTACTTAACACTAGAGTTGGAGATGCCCTTAACAATAGAGTAAGAGCAAACTCTAGAAATCCAGAGTGCTAAAAGTGAATGTGTTTTATAATGTTTTGTTGACTCATATACATCGCACTACATCCATAATATTTATTTTGTTACTTTTTCATTTGCTTGAAATTTGTAGTTTTAGTTTAAACCACTAAAAGAATGAGTAAACGTAATCAAACCATGTGTGGTGTGACAGGTTCTTTGTTTTCTTAGAGGGGAAGATATCAATATAAATGGGTGTCAAAACTACTTGATCATAATGGTAATTGGGACTTGACTCGTTTAAATCAGTTATTTTTGTCTGTGGATGTCCAAACTATTTGTCGTATACGGCCATCTCCGCGTTTCGGGGAAGATTTCATTGTTGGGGAATAGGAGAAGAATGGCTAATTCACAATTCGGAGTGCTTACTGGCTAGCGGGGGAGCTCTATGCTCCTTCTTTAGCTTCCACAAGCAGCGCCCGTGACGGACACAGTGAGGTCTGGAACCTAATTTGGTCGTGCCCCGCCCTGCTTAAAGTTCTCTCTTTTGCTTGGCGTGCTGCAGCGAATTCTTTGGCAACATGGAAAATAAAAAAGCGGAGGACTTTGGAGATTCGGTGTACTTGCCCAGTCTGTAGGATAGAGGATGAAGACATTTTTCATGTCTTGTATGCTTGTGATAATGTGTGTCGACTGCGGCGAGCTATGTCTGAGGTTTGGGCGCTTCCTGATGTTACCACAACTATGCGCTATGATGATTGGTTACTCCAGCTTGTTTGTGATGTAGATGTGTCCATGCGAGTTCGCGTACTGATGCTTTTCTGGATATTATAGCATATCAGAAATGAGTTAGTGCATGGCAAGCCGGCACCACCTATTGGTGTTTCGGTCAAATTTTTATCAAGTTATCTTGATTCACTTACTTCACTCAAGATGGATCCTAATGCAGATTTTGTGAAAGGAACAACTGTGGCCAACCCTTGCTACCCATTAGTGAAATACACATGCAATAATAATGTACCTATGGCTAACACTTCCTGGATCCATCCGGTACTTGGTGATGGGAATCGTTGCATGGAAAACAAAAAAAATTCTACGCACACGCAATGATCTATCCATGGAGATGCATAGCAACAAGGGGGAGAGTGTGTCTACGTACTCTCGTAGACCGTAAGCGGAAGCGTTTAACAACGTGGTTGATGTAGTCGAACTTCTTCATGCTTCAACCGATCAAGTACCGAACGCAGGGCACATCCGCGTTCTACACACGTTCGGCTCGTTGACGTCCCTCGCCTTCTTGATCCAGAAAGACGTCGGGGTATTAGATGAGATCCGTCAACACGACGGCGTGGTGATGGTGATGGTGACGTGATCTCCGCAGGGCTTCGCCTAAGCACTACGAAAATATGACCGGGGGTGTAAACGGTGGAGGGGGTGCTGCACACGGCGAACAATTGATCTGGGGTGTGCTAGGAGCCCCTTCCCACATATATATAGGTGGAAGGGGAAGGGGGGAGGCCACGGCGCGCCCTAGGGCTGGCCGCCGGGCCCCTAGGGCCCTGCCCTGCCCTGCGCCCCCCTGCCATGTTTCCCCAAGGGGGAAGGAAAGAGGGGGGAGGGAAGGAAGAGGGAATCCCAATCCACACTTTTCTTTCCCTTCCCCCCTTTCCTTCTCCTCCTTAGGTTGGCCCATATGGGGGGCGCACCAGCCCCTTATGGCTGGTGTGTTTCCCCTCTTGGCGCATAAGCCCCATATCTTTTGTCGGGGGTGCCCGAAACCCCTTCTGATGACCCGATAAGTACCCGGTACCCCCGAAACGTTTACGGTGCCATGGAGGAGGAAGCACAAGGGAGAGACTCTCTCCCCCCCCCCCTCTCTCGGTGGCGCCGGACTGCCACCGGGGGAACCATCGTCGCGGTGATCGTCTTCATCAACATCACCATCTTCATCACCTTCCTCATCTCTTTTCAACGGGCCACTCTCCCGCACCCCGTTGTAATCCTCTACTCGAACATGGTGCTTTATGCCACATATTATGATCCAATGATATGTTGCCATCCTATGATGTTTTGAGTAGATTTCTTTTGTCTTTTGGGTTGATTGATGATCTAGATTGGTTTGAGTTGTATGTTTTTTTGGTGATGTCCTATGGTGCCTTCGGTATCGTGCACACGTGAAGGATTCCCGCTGTAGGGTATTGCAATATGTTCATGATTCGCTTATAGTGGGTTGCTAGAGTGACATGAGCTTAAGTCCGAGTAAGGGGGTTGTTGCGTATGGGATAAAGAGAACTTGATACTTTAATGCTATGGTTGGGTTTTACCTTAATGATCTTTAGTAGTTGCGGATGCTTGCTAGAGTTCCAATCATAAGTGTATATGATCCAAGTAGAGAAAGTATGTTAGCTTATGCCTCTCCCTCATATAAAATTGCAATAATGACTACCGATTTTATTAACAATTGCCTAGGACAATTCCGCACACTGACCCATCATTATTCCACACTCGTTATTTATAATATATAGTAATATATTCTAACTTTATGTTAACAACACCTATTTTTATATTTTAGTTCTCCGATATCATGCAAAGTTATCCTTTTCATACCCACAATGTAGTTTTATTTTAAGTTTCTAGATGGAAGCAAACGTTCGGTGTACGTAGAGTCGTATGAGTGGCAGATAAGACTTGAGAGAATATTGATCTTACCTTTAGCTCCTTGTGGGTTCAACACTCCATACTTGTCACTTCCATCTTTGAAATTGCTACTATGATTCCTTGCACTTGGGGATTATCAAGCTCTTTTCTGGCATCATTGCCGGGGAGCAATAGGGTAGGGTTGATATTCTCGTGTGTGCTTGTTTGCTTTCTTCACTAAGTAGATTTTGTTTTCCCTTTGTTTTGGTTTTCTTTAGTTGTGGGTGAAATAAAAAAAATTAAAAGAATGAAAATACAAAAAAATTACTTGCCTCTTATTCCTAAAAACTTTTTAAAAAGAGAAGTGATTGGAAGGTTATGCATTGTAGAAGTGAGGGTCGACCTTCAACACTTGTGTTCATGCTCATGGAAACAATGTAGAATTTTTCATGAAAGTTTCTCAAAAATAATTATCCTCTTGTATATATATATATATCCATTGATTATAAAAATAATGTACCATGATATGTCTCCAATGTATCTATAACTTTTGATTGTTTCATGATGTTATATTATCATTCTTGGATGTTTTACAATCATTTTATGGCAACTTTATATCATTTTTTGGGACTAACCTATTGACATAGTGCCCAGTGCCAGTTGTTGTTTTTTTGCTTGTTTTTTTACTTCACAAAAAATCAATACCAAATTGAGTCCAAACGCAGCGAAACTTTTTGGAGAATTTTTCTGGGCCAGAAGACACATGATGGGCCAAAGAAGTACTAGAGGGGTGCGCCGAGGAGGGCACAACCCACCTGGGCGCACCTGGGGGGCCAAGCACGCCCTGGTGGGTTGTGCCCACCTCGGTGGCCTCCTGCACCACCTCTTTTCTCTATAAATACCCCAATATTCCAGAAACCCTAGGGGAGTCGATGAAAATTAATTCCAGCCGCCGCAAGTTCTAGAAACCACAGATCCAATCTAGACACCATCACGGAGGGGTTCATCATCCTCATTGGTGCCTCTCCGATGATGCGTGAGTAGTTCATTGTAGACCTATGGGTCTGTAGTTAGTAGCTAGATGGCTTCCTCTCTCTCTATTTTGATTCTCAATACAATGGTCTCTTGGAGATCTATTTGATGTAACTCGTTTTGCGGTGTGTTTGTTGGGATCCGATGAACTTTGAGTTTATGATTAGATCTATGTTTTTATCCATGAAAGTTATTTGAGTCTTTTGATCTCTTATATGCACGATTACTTATAGCCTTGTATTTCTTCTTCGAATCTTTGGTTTAGTTAGGCCGACTAGATCGAGTTTTCTTGCCATGGGAAGAGGTGCTTTGTGATGGGTTCGATCTTGCGGTGGTTGATCCTACTGACAGAAGGGAAACGACACGTATGTATCGTTGTTATTAAGGATAACAAGATGGGGTCTATTCCTATATGAGTAGATCTTGTCTACATCATGTCATTGTTCTTATTGCATTACTCTGTTTCGCCATGAACTTAATACACTAGATGTATGCTGGATAGCGGTCGATGTGTGGAGTAATAGTAGTAGATGCAGGCAGGATTCAGTCTGCTAATCTTGGACGTGATGCCTATATAATGATCATTGCCTGGATATCGTCATGATTATTTGAAGTTCTATCAATTGCCCAACAGTAATTTGTTTACTCGTCGTATGCTATTTTTCTCGAGAGAAGCCACTAGTGAAA